GGCAAAGGCCACATTCCTCAGCAAGCAATCCCACCCCTTTACACGTACCTACCTGAGTCAAATGTGCTGAATAAATAAATGTTACCTCTCAGAGGCTTTGTCAGCGCTTTTCACCAAGTGGAACTGCATTCATTTTTCACTTGCAGCAGCCTCTGGTGCATCTGACCTGTTGTCAAAGCCTGGATTATGGCCCGAGTGCGTCTCCTCCAGGGGGTCATCCAGAGCCTGGTCATTCAACAGCAACTTTATCACAGTTTCATTCGAGAGGCCCAACACCATAAACTTGGCAAAGAAAATAGAGGCTGGAGAATTTGCAAACAGCGTGTGATGCTTGGGAGACTCTGGGTTGAACTAGACATTGAGAAAGTGTATTCTCAGTGAACAACCCAGTTTCCAACCTATGACGGTTTCCTTAGAGGAGAGTGTCTTGACAGTCAGGCATGGGAACCAGGACTATGTTTACTTTCCAATCACCAATTATAAAGCAAAACATGCTAGATGCAAGGTATGTAGGTGAGGAAAAGTACATCCTCTGAAAGACAGACACTTTCACCACATGAGTACCTCTTCCAATAAAGTGCTTCCCAGTTTGGCCCTTTGATCCTTACTGGGTTCCTCGGGAGGAGTCCAGTTCCCTGCCCCAGTGGCCCATAAATGTCCCAGGGCAGATGGAGGTGGAAATGTCCACCTCCAAGCCTGTAGGTCCCACACGTGCCACTATCTCTGAGAAAATGGAAGGAGCAGAGCGGCGTGGAGACTAAATCCTCATTAACTGCACTCAGAGGGCTCTCTGATGGACAAACAGAATCCAGCTGTGAGGGGAGCCCATCCTGATGCTTTGCAGCTTTCCCCATCCATCCATGAAAAAATTCAATAATTTTATTGAAACCAGATCCCCTGCCTCATCGGGTAAGGATTTCTTCAGACCGTTCGTCATGTCTATAAACCCCCAGGGGCCAGCCTGGGCACATGCGGGGGAGAAGGAGAGGCAAAGGAGGAGGAGGAGGAGGAGGAGATGATGGAGAAGGCTCTGGCTGGCTGGCTTTCCCAAGGATAAGCCTGACTGCATGCAGAAAAACACACAGGAGTGTGGCCTCTCCAGCATCCAAGGCAGTCCTGCAATAGATTTTGCATTGCATTTCGCCTCATGGCCTTGTGATGTGTGGGCCACCCTTCCTAATCCATCTCTCTCTGTCTCCCTTAGTGTTCACATTTAGCATCCTTTGAAATTCCTCTCCTGTTTTGTCTGGAGAGGAACCTCAACAAAATTTATTCTGAATTTCATTACAAGCGAGATCTAGTGTGCAAAACCAACTGCAGGGAAAATTCATATATATATATATTCCAGCCTTAACCACATCCTTTGGCTTGGATCTCATGGAGGTGATGATTGGCCACTTCAGGGAGGGACTCACAAGCCAAAATGCCCCCCTCCCTGCAATAGGAAAGCTAACCATTGGGAGATGTGTCTCAGCCAAGCTGTCTCCATAGTTTTCCATATCTGCTCCTGTTGGTAGATAGAGTTCCTTGGCTTCAGGGGTATAGACATGGGGAGAAAAATTAAGGATTTGACCCCAGGAATATCAATTGTTTTCCTCCCCATGAAATTTTCCTTCATTCTCCAAATTTCTAGAATTGCAGAGTGAGAATCTGAAAATCCTCAGCACCCAGAACTCTTCAATTTGCTGAGTTCACATTCCCTTGGGGTCTTTGCCTGGGCTTTTTCATTTAATGCTTAAACCATGTTTTGAAAGGCTCAACTGAAGTCTCACATGACTGCAATGCTAGACATTTGAGTCCCGAAGGGAAATTTCATGGGAGGTAGAATTCTTATTGGGGACAATGCTCTTATTTTGCCTCCTTCTATAGCTGCACCCCTGGCTTCCTGAGCAATAGCCCTTGATGATCACCCCACTAGACAGAATACCTTCAAAATGTCTCACTTTGTAAGAAATGGGCTTCCCAATGCACTGAGACACTCACTTGAAAACATGGTCAACCATCAGAACCATAGTATCCTGGAATCACGGTTGCAACAGATTCCATGGCAGATTAACATCAACATGTGTATGCATCTGTATGCCTTCAAGTCACCTGTTGTCTTACGGAGACCTCATGAATTTCATAGGGTTTTCTTAGTCCAGAAATACTCAGAGGTAGCTCCTTCCTCTGAAACAGAGATCCCAGCCCCTGGTCTTTCTTGGCAGTCTCCCATCCAAGTACAGAACCTACTTACCTTCCAAATCAAATAAGATCTAATCATGCCTTTAGGGTATTTAGCCAAATAATTGCATTCAAGCTGTCTGTTGTCTTGTAGTTCCTTCCTCTGAAATAGAGACTATAACCCCTGGTCTTGGTTGGTGGTCTCCTATCCAAGTACTAACCAGGGCTGATGGAGCCTTTAGAGTATTTAGGCCTAGATGCTCATTTTGGTCTGGAACCAAGCAACACTCAATGAGGAAAGTCTTCTTCGCATCCAACAGGCAAATACCATCAGGAGGTAGGTTGTGAGCATTGGCTTCAGGGAGGCAACGACAAGCGCCAGAGTGTGTGTGTGTGTGTGTGTGTGTGTGTGTGTGTGTGTGTGCTTTCTTTTTTGACCTGACTCTTTCCCCCAGAAAGGGTGAGATGAGATGAGATGAGGAGCCCTTTGCTCAGGCGTTCCAGGTGAATGGATGACCTTTGGGGCTGTTGAAGCGGCTGCTCATTTCCTGTTTATGGCAGATGCATGGAGGGCACTGTGAAGAAAGGACTCGGGATTAATTCATATTATGGGACTCCTGGGGAAATGCAATGTATTAGCTTATTAGTGTTGCTAAGGAACCAGCTCTAGCACCCAACTTGACTGGAGCGGAACGAGTCCAAGACTGAGACTTGAAAACCAACAGCAGCTTCAAATGAGACGCATTTGCTTTCCCCAGCCATTCCAACTCCTCTTTCTCCACCCCCACCCTCAATTAGACTTTGCAATTTCAACATTACCTTTTAAGCAAGGTCTGAGCAGATGACGTGTATTTTGGGGCAGAAATGCCCATTTTTTTAAAAAAAATCTCTGCCTCTAAAATTGCCATTGGACTGAATCCCTCGGTGCTATCCATTGCATTCTCACAGAGGGCAAGGAGGCATTTGTGCCAATATCACTTGCAAAGCCTGTCTCTCCTTCCACTCTATAAGGAGATTTTAGTATTCATAGCAAAAGGGGATTGTCTCATTTTGGGAATGCTATTGTCATTTTATTTTCCAAAAAAGCATTGCAGGCCTCTTCTCAGAGATGAGAAAATTCAAACAGGTTGCAAAATAAACAGCAAGAGAAATCTCAATGCCCTGAAAGAAGAAAAGTAGAGGGTGGGGGATATGAATCTCCCACTTGCAGTCATTTTTATTGAAATATCTAGCGGCAGCACGATGAGAGCTTTGGCCATTTGCAGGAACATTTGCAGAACATGAGTCCAAGATTGGCACTTTGGCTCCTGTTCCTAATCTCTCCAGCTTCAAGAAGGTTTCCTGAAGGAAAGTGGGTTGCAGAGAAAGACAGGCACTTAAAGAGACAGATGGATATACGCATCTTTGATAGGCATTTTATGCTACTTAGAATATTTTAAAGTGAATGGACTTCAACCTTTTCCGCCATATATTGTTCGACTTGTAGCTTGTTCTAGCCTTTTATACTATTGGTAGAAAGATGGGACCTTGATTTAAATAATGGCATAGCTAAATATAAATAAATCCACAAGGGCTATCACACACACACACGGCCATGAAACCCACTGTATGACCTTGGGCAAGTCACACTCTCTCAGCCTCAGGGAAAGGCAATGGCAAACCACTGCTGAATAAATCTTGCCAATAAGTCCCCATGGTAGGTTCTCTTGAGGATCTTCGTTGGAGATGACTTGAAGGCACACAACAAACCCACAAAGCATTTGTGAGAGATGGCTAACCTACTTCTGTTGAACAGCCTTCAGAGAAGGAGAGTCACCATCCTCTGAGGCGCTCTGCTTCACTGAGATCTGGCAACCCCATATAGATTGCTAAAGGTAAGTGGTGGCGAGTTCAAGAGAGAAAGAAAGAAGATCCTTGACGCATGCTCATTCATGGAACTTGCTGCCACTTGATGGATGAGAGATAGCTGAGAATTTTGCTTCGGTTTTTTTTGTTTGTTTGTTTTTTGAGAATGAGGACTTGCTCAAATTCACAAAATCTGAATGTAGGAGGCAAAGAAACTGGGAGGAATGACCATCTTCTTTGGAGCAGAGAGAACTCATTGTCAGTTTGTCTTTTTAATCCAAATATGCCAGAATCAAGGCTAATATCCTCTGTAGCATTTAATTCTGTCTCCAGCAGCCGTTTCTCCATAGATTCACTGTGTGCTTTTTAATTCTGGCATTTAGTACAGATATTTGACTGTATGTGACAAATCCATCTCTCCTCTTAAAACAAACTAGAGAGAGAAAGAGAGAAAGAGAAATCAGGTAAGTGGCCAAATAGATTTCGGAAGCATTTGCTCCCAAGCCATAAGTAATGTACGTCTTCCTTTGTCTCTAGCAATCAATGGCGCTTCCCTGCAGGCAGTCCAATTAATAAAACGGTGGCTTCCTTCTGCCCTGATCCATCTTGGACTTTGAGATTAAGCCTCCTGCAGTTCAGGAAGACGCTGCATGCTTAACTCACAGTTCCCCGGACGTCTTGCAATAATGTGCGCTGGCGCACTCTGTGTTGGTTCTTCTTGCAATGGAAGAATACCAATGGGAGGCCCTGAGTTCAAGAGGCGCCTGCAGAAGGGGAGGAGGAGTTGGGACACGGAGGCTGGAGAAGGCAAGATGGAGGTGCTGCGGGTGGAACCAGTTCAAAGGGAGCAGGCAGGGACCCCCATATTGGTTCTTAAGGTGAGGGGGCTCAACAAGGACAGGCAACTTGGTCTTGATTTTGTGGTTTGAGCATTGGGCTACATTAACACAAGAGACCACTGTTGAAATAAACTGGGTATTCTTAATGGTGGAGCCAGTGTGGTGTAGTGGTTTGAGTGTTGGACTATGACTCTGGAGATCCAGGGTTCAACTCCGGACTCAGTCATGGAAACCCACTGGATGATCTTGGACAAGTCACACTCTCTCAGCCTTGGGAAAGGCAATGGCAAACCTCCTCTGAACAAATCTTGCCAAGAAAAAAACCATGATAGGTTTACCTTAGGGTCGCCATAAGTTGGAAATGACTTATTAATTCCCTAATGGAACTCCAGGTCTAGAGTCAATGTGAGACATATTTGCTCTTTTCTTTTGGGTTTTGCTGCGGGGTTTTTTTTTTTTTTAAACTATGTTTTGAATTTTTCCTCAGGTAGCATGGATACTCCTCTTAAGTATTTTGTGCTTCTGAAGAATACCGAGGCACCCATCTTATTTCTGTCTTGTTCCTTGGCATAGCTGTGCTCCTCACCATCTGAGTTCAGTAAGAGGAGTAATACTGACAACTGCTGTCAGGGTTACGCCATCCATGATACGTGGTGCCTTACAAGGTTTCTCACTTTTTGGGAAGACGAAAACACAGTGCATAAACAAGAGACAGAGTAAAGGGTTCCTACTTCCATGCAATTGGCTTGAATGCAGCTCACCCACACAAATAGCATTGCACATAATTAATGCTTCCTTTCATTTATGAGTCTTAATCTGGAAACCCCCTAGGTAATGGATCTTGGAAAGGTTCCCTCCCTCCATTCACCAGAAATAACCAAATCCCCCCATTTCTGCTGCTTCTCCTTTTCCTCTTCTTCTTTTGTCATTTACTGCAGGCAATGCAAGGACCATTCCTGAAATTTCTCAGCAACCAGAACTAAAAGAAGCAGCATTATCTGGAGAATGTAGGAGATTTATTCCCAGCTATTTCAAATGTTATTCCACTGTGCTGGGATTTAACCTCTGGCTAGGAAAATGATCTCCTTTTATTGAATGGCACGTATAGTAATTAATGTTCTGGTGACCCATGAGAACAGACAAAAGACAGGGCGGCAAGCAGGTAGAAGCACAGATTTATAGAAGCATCTTAAGGCCATTCGGAAGACATTTGGCTGAATAAGCATCACTTGGGCTCTATTTAAAGGATCTCAAGGGGAGGATGATGCTGAATGGGCAATTTCAAGGCCATGGCCAAAGCCTGAGGCACATTGCAAAGACCAGAAGAGAAATGGCAAGCAAGAGGAGGTCTCACAGATGCTCAGACCCACCTGGCCCACTCTCCTATGCCAACATAGGGAAACTCTGAGTCAAGACAGTCAAGGAACTTTATGGAAGATGAAGGGTGGTACTGTGGCAAGGTCTCAGCTGTTACAAGAAGGCAGTCGTCCAACCAAACAGTCAAAGTCATTAAATATATCCAGTCCAGAGATCAAGAATCCAAGAAACACACAAGCACAGAAGGCACTGACAACTGGGCAGACTGGTTGTGAGCTGCTGGGGGACATAGAGGTAGTCGAACCAGAAATGCCAGATACTTGATTGCTCAGTGTTTTCCATCTAAGAGGTGTTGATCTCCCACAACTTTGCTCCTTCCGTCTTTGCCCAGACCTCAAAGGAGAGGCATCCATCACTGATGTCCATCAAGGAGGAGGAGGGAAGCCTTTGAAGCTCCTGAAGCTGACCAAAGTCCTCCAAATGCCCCCACATTTCTATCAGGGAAGTTTTGATGTGTGTCGAGCTCTACCATTGCACACTGGAACTCCCTATCCGGTGTCCCAATGTGCATCAGGAGTGTCCAATGACCCCTTGTACATCAGTCCCATTGTGCATCGGTCCTACTGTGCATTGATCCCAACATGTGATGAAGTCCTTAGATGGTGCCCTACATAGTAATGTTAACTTTTGCTCCTCACTGAATACAGACATTACAAAACTGCTCAATTCAAATTTTTACACATATAAGTCTGCAAGTGAATTCCAGCCAGGCTACCTAAAGCAATGCACCTGCTGTGACTGTCCAAACTTCTCTCACTCTGTCATGAATGCTGGCAGTTCCATTCTAAACAAAAAAGCACACAAGAAGGCAATGCCATCCCTTCAAAATCCCAGCATGTCTGGATGGCAGGGCAATAATTCATGGGGCCAAGGAGGGCAGTGGAAGGAAGGGCAGGTAGCTGCCTGTCAGGAGCGTGGCCGCTTTGCTTGGACGTCTCCAGCTGCTTCAGCCAGGATAAATCAGCCGCTGGTGTAAACCTGTCTGCCGCACGAAAGGCAGCGAGCTTCCCTAAGTGCAGTTTTTGTGTATTTTTAATAAAGGTCACTCTGTGTTTACTGGCAAGGGAAATCAATGCCGGTTCATTATTTATGAAGGATTCCAGCCGTCCGTAAAGAGCCGGAGTCTGAATACCCTGAAGCAGGACAAGTAGCGGAGCTAGCCCCATTCTCAATCTCAATCTCAGCATCAATCTTTGGATGGGAAGATCAGAAGGAAGACGGTCCAAGACCTTCTGAAATACACCTCACTTCCATCAAGCCCTCAGTGGATGGCTTATAGTTCTTTCCGAGTGCCTTTAGATTACAACGCACACCAGACGATATTTTGGGAACTGCTTTGGCCGTAAACCACATCTATACTGACGATCTACATAATGGTTGTGTGCCCATGACATATAGCACACGCACATATATAAGCCCTTAATTGCATCTGGACAGAATGCCCATCCTGCCTAAATGATCAATCCTCAAAAGCCTATTGAAACAGAAAATCCTTCATCTTTTGGTGGAAAAAGAGTAGGAAGCTTCCCAATCTAACTTCTCTGGTTCCTTTGGGAGAAGATGAATTGGGCAGAGAGAAGTGGCACAGTTCTGCCTCCAGAACTATTATGCTGCAGACTGCCATGAAGGATCTGGCCATGTAATGTGGCTAGAAAGTTGTTGGGGTTTCCTCCCCCTCAAAAATATTAACATTTTAATGGTCAGGAAGGGTGCGAGAGTATATGTGCAGACCCCGCAACAACTGCCAGGTGTGTCCTTGGCAGAACTCTACCCCTAAATCTAATTGCTTTCCTCCGAAGGGGGTGCAACTCTCAAGGATAACAAGTTCCAGGATGGAACGGTTTCTTCCAGAACTCAGAAGAATGGAGCCCTGCATGCTAAGGCCTGTCATCAGTCGCAGTTTCCCTGCCTATTCTCAGAAGGAGAGAGAAAAATGTGGGCAGAAGGCAAGGAGAAAAGGGTGTGTGCATGGCTGAAGAGTGACGTTCCTGAACTTTTCATTCCCAAGTTGCACTCCTCACAACTGCTGAAATGCAAGAACCCCTCGTTCTTCTTCTTTCCTGTTTCTCCATTGGAAGTTGTTTGCAAAATCTGGTGGCAGAATTGAGGGGAGAGGCAAAAGGAGGAGAAGGACCAGGTGTGTGTGTGTGTGTGTGTGTGTGTGTGTGTGTGTGTCTGGAGAAAGAGTCTAATGCCTTAATAAATTTGATTTCAGAGCAAATGGAATGTCTGCAGCTCTTCTGGTGTGTTAACCTGGTTTTACATTACAGACGGAGGTGGAAAAGGCTGGTCTATTTTTAGACTCTAATCCTACCCAAAGGTTGGGGGAGCAAAGCCCTTGCAAGCATGGTGTATCATAAACACTCTGCAATGTCTTGAAGAGGAGTTTAAAGCAGGTTCAGAGAGAGAGGGGTCAGTCTCAGTTTCTCCCTGCAATGTTCAATCTGGCCATTAAGTGCAGCAATGGGGAGGGATGTGGTTGGGCCCTTCCTCTTGAGTTTAATCATTCTGGCTAATGGCTAATTGAATCTGGCAGAGACAAATGCTCTTCTTTCTTCCATGGCTTCTGTCTTTCCTTTACTCTTTCCCCAAAATCACAGAATCAAAAACTTGATGTGGACTGGATCGAAGGATAAGACCATCCAAGGAGCTTCCTTGGTCAGATGAAAGGCCCCTCTGGAGAAGCTCCCTCAGTCCCATAGTGGCCACCAGGATGATTTTAGGAAGTCCTTGGTCCCATAGTGGCCACCAGGATGACCATAGGAAGACCTTGGTCCCATAGTGACCACCAGGATTATTTGTACTCAGTCTGGGCCAAATGCCTGAGTCTTTGTCTTTCCCAGGAGTGACCTGATGGACAGAAGGAAGGAGTAGCTGGTCTTCAGGCATCTGCTGAGGTTGCATCTACACTGCAGAATTGATGCAGTTTAACATTGGTTTAATGGCCATGGCTTAAAGCAATGGAATTCTGGAATTTGTAGTTTTGTGAGATATTTAGCTTTTTCTGGAAGAGAGCAGTGGGTGCCACAAGGCACTACGAATCCCAGGATTCCATAGCAATCAGCCATGGCAGTTAAAGCAGTGTCAAACTAGAGTAATTCTATAGTGTGGGAACAGCCTGAGATTCTTCAACTGGTAAGTTCTCTTCTTCTTTTTTCTTCTTCTCCTTTCTGTAGCGCATAGGTCAGTGGACCTTCTTCTGGGCTCCCTAGTGCCCTCCAGAATTTATTTTATTTTATTTTATATTGACATTGGTAGCAAATTGCTAAATGCATCCTGATCAATGGGAAAAGGAAGTAGATGCACTACAGTCAATAACACAATTGTTTCAGTTCCTTTTAGATCAATATCAGTAGTCACTTCAATAGTCCATATATTGATTAAAGTCAATTTAAGTCTCTTTGGGACCCAATTATACATGAATGCTGATCTCATAAAAGCTTACCATTCTTCTGTAAGCCTGAGGACAGGGAACTGTCCAAGGAAAAAATTGTAAACTGCTCTGAGAAACTTTCTGGATGAACAGCAGGGTATAAATACACAATAAATAGATAGATAAATAAATAATCAATCAAGTGTAAATGGGTGGATTCTGCTCAGAATGAGTCCTGGACTATGAATAACCTTTGGAAAAAGTGCAGCTTCCAAAGACTTTCTTGCAGGAGGAAGAAAATTGTAAAAAATTACTCATTGCTTCCTTCGATATCAAAATTAATGAATAATTGCACGCCCACCCATCCCCGCAAGGATTCTATTCAAAACCATTTCAGATGAAAGGTGTTGTTTTTTAAAAAAATTATTGCTGCCTGGTTTGATCCAGCAAAACAGAATCCTGCTGCTGTTTTTGCA